ATTCCATACAAGATTTGATGTCGGCATCGTGAAATAACCGGTTTTGACAGATGAAATGATGCATCGTCCGACGCCTGGGGATTGTATGGAGAAGTAAACTATAGCCTACACTTGTAAACTACAATTCGCATGCTATCACATGCCCACAGTTACAAAGAACTGTTAGCGAGCACCTATGAAGGCTGGCACGGCACACGAGGGGGTGGGTAGCCAGCACCACACCCGGCTGCCCTTGTCTCTCCATTGGTGATGTTTACACATTGCACCAGGTACAATTTGAGGCTGAGCAAACTAGGGGAGGCCCAGGACTGGTTCAGATAATCGTCACTGGTGTTGGCCCTGAGCGAGAATCAAACTTTGGCCGCTGGGTTAGCAGTGCAGCGCGTTAACCGCTACACTATCGCTCTCCACAGCCACAACACAAAGACACACACAAACTCAGTTTAACACGTAGGCTTTCGCGACCAATATTAACCATAACAGAGGTTTTTGGATTAAATCGCGTAAATGTGTCGTTAAACCCGCCACCACCCGACACAGCCACTTAGTAAGGTTCGTCACACAAACAAAACATGCCAACAGCACGCCGGCGTGTTGGAGAGTAAACCCACAACATTTACAATTCCAGTACGACGTTTCGCCAGTAATTACGACTAACATCATCAGGCGGACAGCCAGATTTGTGGAGAAATCTTCCTGCTTCGGTCTAAACACACACATGAACTGTTCATGCCCTCTGCGGGTAACACGTGGACACCACATGGAAGTAGCCATCATAACACATTTTATTTTTTCAAGGTGCAGCTCTTGAATCTCTTTCGCACGGCCGCTGCTGGCCGAAGAGCTTCCACTCAAGGAAGTTTCAAAGGGCCTCCCAAGAAAATTTTGGTCGACTCTTCCACACTGCCCAGATGTGAGAGTACCCACACTTTACCCCACCATGCGTGACCTTCCGATTGGCTGTGGTGTAACCCATTTATACTGCTGCAGGGTGGTGAGAGGTGGGGGTGGGGTGGGGATTTAAGAAATTGTCCCCATTGTCTCGAATGTCAGGAGGCCCTCATTCAATAGCGGATTGAAAAAGTGCCTTAAACAACAACAATAACAATACGTGACAGCAATTTATTTTAAAAACCATTGGTCTAAATTCAGGGTGAATCCTGAAGAGGATTTTTGAATGATTTAATGCTGACTCAACGTGGATATTTCCACGCACAAATCATAGCACATTGTTGTGATCTGCCGGCCTGTCGGACAGATCACTCATGCAAACTGTGGCAGGAAGAGGGATTATAAGTCAGTCCAAATCAGATGCTCACATTATCACGATGGTGCAAAGATCCACATTCGTTCAACTCACGTTAAGGTTAAACCGATGACATTAAACACATGATGTTGCTTCTCATTAAATAATACATGCAAGATAGCTTATGGCCTGCCCAGAATGACGTACTCAAGTGACAGTTCAAATTTCTTGACATGGGATGGGAGTTTATGCATTTTAATGCTACCATCGCAAGAGTGTGCGAGGCCTCGCTAAAATATATATCAGTTTTCTAGTGCTGCCCATTATTTATTTTTTAAACCCACCGTAGTCATAGGTTGGTATATCTCTATATTACATCAGTGATTTTCCTTTTTGAAATATACACATTGCAATTACGGTATGATCACTACTGCAACGCCTTACTGGTTCGGGATACAGAGCAAAGTTCTGGGCAGACTCCAGCTTGTTCAGAATGCAGCTGCTAGAGTGCTTACACCATGTACACCATTCCGTACACCAGCCCTCTTAACTCTTCATTGGCTACCGGTCGTATTCCGAGTGCATTTTAAGATACTGCTTAAAAGGGCTCACTGCCACATGACTTGTAAAAACTAATAAATTCATATATTCCATCAGGGTCCTTAAGATATTCCGATCTTCAACTGCTCAGCATTCCCAAATCTAGGTTGCACTCTTTTGGCGATCGGTGCTTTTGTTAGCGTGGCACCCACGCTATGGAACGCCTTGCCACTTGAAATCAGGGCAATCAGAGTCTGCGGATATATTTAAGTCAGCTTTGAAAACCCATCTCTTTAAAATGGCCTTCCCTCTGTAGTTTGGTCGGTTGTCCCTAGTTCTCTTTTTGTTTCCTGCATTTCATGCATTGCGCGTTGGGATCCTAGGAGGGAATGCGCATTATACATTTGAATTATTATTCTAAAGTGTGCAAGTGGTACTATGAAACTATTTCAAATATAAGGCACTTATCATGAGTACTATGGTGGCGGTATGGACCACTATCCGTCATTGACACGTGTAACTGAGAGCGAAGTAAAATTATGAAAAGTTTTGTGTAAACCAAACATTTTGATTTAAAGCTTTCGTGACTGTTGTAATTCATATTCTTAGTTCTTTCGGTAAAGTCACGTTGAAGGGAAACAATAAAATAATAAAATATATATAAAACAATAAAAATTCTCACGACGTTTCGACCATAACACAAACGACCGGTCGTTTGTGTTATGGTCGACCGGTCGTTTGTGTTATGGTCGAAACGTCGTGAGAATTTTTATATAAATTTTATTTTATTGTTTCCCTTCAACGTGACTTTGCCGAAAGAGCTAAGAATATAAACCAAACATCTTAACCTAAATATCCAAAGGAAATGGGAGCTCAAGCATTTAAAAGACTGCAAACATGGGATATTAACACGGTACACTTTGTAGGTTTCCGTAGTCATGTTGTATAGCTTTGTGACTTGACGTGCTTCAGAGTTGTACCGCATGTTGTTGACTAACGTCACAGGCGGTTCGACCTGAAAATAACATCGGGGGAAGAGCAAACAACTAATTTGTAATCCCCCCCCCACCGCCACCACTCTCTTTACCTCTCTACCTTGTGACTCTCCAACAGCAAGATCTCATCACGCCGTCGTCGTTAAACAACAACAACAAAAACCACGTCAGCCAGCCGTACGTCAGCAGCGTGAAAAGGCGTGGATGGTGTTAGCCCCGCAAATTAAGTTCCCAACACCATAACAATCAAGAGGGGGCCCCGATGTTGTTGCACGGTGCTTTAGACGACGGCTGTGACGCTTGACACGCCGATTACGGAGGCAACGTTGGTCGACCGTGCACACAAAATACAAATAACACGTCACCTGTTCTTTCCCTTCACCTGCACAAGCTGCGCTGACTTTGTCCCGATACATCATCTGCGGTGGGACTTGGAAGCGAGTCTCAGCGACGTTCCGCGTTGGACATCCCCGGGCCCATTGCGAAATTTCCCAAATCCCGTTGTGGGAATCCGTCTTTACCAACAACAGCAACTGGCCACCTGCCATCAAGTGGTGCAATTTTTTTGCGGGACTCATGTGCGACCCACGAGAGATGATGATGATGATGATATTGGCGAGATGTTAACTACCTCGCCTAGTATACATGAGGTCGTGGGGTTTCCAACCCGACCCTGCTGTATATATGGAGTTTGCATGATTCACCCTGTGGTCGCGGTGGATTTTTCTCCGGATTCTGCGGTTTTCCCCTCCACATTTAAAAATCAACATCACGCGTTTGGAGTATTTGGCAGCTGTACATTTCCACGTGATAAGCCACACTTCGTTGAGCTATCATTTGTGGCCAGGTCGCTTCTGATAAAAAAAAATTGATACATAGCTCGGTGGGCATTACCTGGTAAAATAAAAAAAACCGTTTAGTTGTTTATAGAACTGGGTCAACAATGGATTATATTGGAACTCGGATCAATTGGAATTATTTATCTTGATCCACTGAAACACATACTGGCTTATGTGTACAATACACAGTACACTGAATGGTATACTGGACGTGCATTTTAAAATGCCAATTTTAATGTTTTTTTTTTAAACTTACGGCATTTAATTCGGCAAAAAAACCGAATGCAGTAATCCGAAACCTCAAAACAGAAAAGTACATAAATCATAAAATCCATGCGTAAAGATGTTCGACTGCCATTGAATGAAATAACGAAATTACAAACGAGACCTGAACGCTGATTGCAAGGCGATAACGGCAACAAGATTTACGGAGACATTTGAAGATAATTTTGCGTAAATTGTATATGATACACTTGTAGTGGCTTGTATGTAAATAAACGATGAAGCAAGCACCTCCTAACGTTTTCCCGACGGCACCTTCGTCGTCTTTATAGCAACCGATGGACACATTAACTCCAGGAAGTGACTAAAGAATTCACGGAGACGCCAAAGTTTGGCTAAAACCCCATAAAGCTGTAACAATTCTGAAAACGTTTTCTTTGGGAGCCTAGCCAGCGGGGAAAACGCCAGAGTATGTAGATTTTGGGCGATCATTAAAGGACCGAGGCTAAACTTTACGAAAGAAAGGTTGGTGCTTTCAGGAAATCAAAGAGCAACACACGCGCGTGTGTGTGTGTTGCGTAACGCTTTAAATGTGACCCCACTTTAGCGTCGACGGCGCGGAAAAGCCAACAAGGACGACACAGGCACGAAGAAGCAATCGTCGAAGAATAACTTATCGCGCACAGAGAGAGAGGGAGAGAGGGAGGCACATTCCGAGGACGACACCGTCCAGTGGAAGTGAAGATTGGGGCCACAAAGAGAGAGGCAAGACTAACTTCCCGTGGGTGATACTTTACGCACGGGAATCAATGAGCGGCGTTACGCGGAATCGCTAAACCGCGGTGTAGCAGCGCTAGAAGAGCGACTGGCGGGTGAGTGACTGACACCTCGGGGTGATTATCAGCCTGGTGTTCGATCAATCGATCAATCGACCTAGACGGCTTCTCCGAATTATACTCACGTGCGCCGAGGCTACGACCCCCAGATGATCACCGCGGGATCCTTACCCCTGGCCCACATCTTGCCGCAGTGGTTATACTGATGAAGGTCGTCCGATTCGGATGATGATGAAGAAAAACTAAAAAAACGACCCCGCAAACCACGAGAACGTCCCGCGAGAGAACACGGGACGAGGCCGAGGGGGGCGCCTCCCCATACCTTCCCGATCCATGTCGATCCCTCCCGGGGTAGACGATGGAGGGTGGTGGTGGAGGAGGTGGAGGTGGTGGTGGAGGAGGTGGAGGAGGTGGTGGAGGAGGTGGTGGTGTCCAGGCTCCACCGGAGCTTCACGCACGAGGGCGCGGTGTGTGGGGGTGGGTGATGTCTCAGCTGATCCCGGGCCAAGAAGAGCGGCGGCGGATAGAAGGAGATAGAGAAGGAGGAGATAGAGAAGGAGGAGATAGAGAAGGCAGAGCGAGAGCCCAGAGGGCTGGGGACATGAGAAGAGAGGATGATGACAGCGAGCACAGAAGATGAAGGAGACGGGGGTAGGGGAAGCAGCAGCAGCAGGAGACAACGGCTGGAGGCGCCGCTCTTCCTGTCCCACCCAGTCACACTCCTTCTAGAGTGCCTCTCTCCACTCCTCGCTTCCCTTCGCTCTCTCCTCCTCCTCACACTCCTCGTCTCGCCGCCTCCACTGCCGCTCCACGCTGGGGACCCGGCACCCACGGCACTGTACACAGCGCGACCCGGCCAAGTCTCCACGCCACCACCACCGCCACTTGTTTACAGCCAACGTCAAGTCAGAGGCTTTACCGCTCATCCAGAACAGAGGGTTTTCCTCTCATCCAGAACAGAGGGTTTACCGCTCATCCAGAACAGAGGGTTTTCCTCTCATCCAGAACAGAGGGTTTTCCTTTCATCCAGAACAGAGGGTTTACCTCTCATCCAGAACAGAGGGTTTTCCTCTCATCCAGAACAGAGGGTTTACCTCATCCAGAACAGAGGGTTTACCTCTCATCCAGAACAGAGGGTTTACCTCTCATCCAGAACAGAGGTTTACCTCTCATTCAGAACAGAGGGTTTACCTCTCATCCAGAACAGAGGGTTTACCTCTCATCCAGAACAGAGGCTTTACCGCTCATCCAGAACAGAGGCTTTACCGCTCATCCAGAACAGAGGGGTTACCTCTCATCCAGAACAGAGGGTTTACCTCTCATCCAGAACAGAGGGTTTACCACTCATCCAGAACAGAGGTTTTTACTCTAATCCCGAACAGAGGTTTACCTCTCATCCAGAACAGAGGGTTTACCTCTCATCCAGAACAGAGGGTTTACCTCTCATCCAGACCAGAGAGTTTACCTCTCATCCAGAACAGAGGGTTTACCTCTCATCCAGAACACAGGGTTTACCACTCATCCAGAACAGAGGGTTTACCTCTCATCCAGAACAGAGGGTTTACCTCTCATCCAGAACAGGGTTTACCTCTCATCCAGAACAGAGGGTTTACCTCTCATCCAGAACAGAGGGTTTACCTCTTATCCAGAACAGAGGGTTTACCTCTCATCCAGAACAGAGGGTTTACCTCTCATCCAGAACAGAGGCTTTACCGCTCATCCAGAACAGAGGCTTTACCGCTCATCCAGAAAAGAGGGTTTACCTCTCATCCAGAACAGAGGGTTTACCTCTCATCCAGAACAGAGGGTTTACCTCTCATCCAGAACAGAGGTTTTAACTCTAATCCAGAACAGATGGTTTACCTCTCATCCAGACCAGAGGCTTTACCACTCATCCAGAACAGAGGGTTTACCTCTCATCCAGACCAGAGAGTTTACCTCTCATCCAGAACAGAGGGTTTACCTCTCATCCAGAACAGAGGGTTTACCACTCATCCAGAACAGAGGTTTTTACTCTAATCCCGAACAGAGGTTTACCTCTCATCCAGAACAGAGGGTTTACCTCTCATCCAGAACAGAGGGTTTACCTCTCATCCAGACCAGAGAGTTTACCTCTCATCCAGAACAGAGGGTTTACCTCTCATCCAGAACACAGGGTTTACCACTCATCCAGAACAGAGGGTTTACCTCTCATCCAGAACAGAGGGTTTACCTCTCATCCAGAACAGGGTTTACCTCTCATCCAGAACAGAGGGTTTACCTCTCATCCAGAACAGAGGGTTTACCTCTTATCCAGAACAGAGGGTTTACCTCTCATCCAGAACAGAGGGTTTACCTCTCATCCAGAACAGAGGCTTTACCGCTCATCCAGAACAGAGGCTTTACCGCTCATCCAGAAAAGAGGGTTTACCTCTCATCCAGAACAGAGGGTTTACCTCTCATCCAGAACAGAGGGTTTACCTCTCATCCAGAACAGAGGTTTTAACTCTAATCCAGAACAGATGGTTTACCTCTCATCCAGACCAGAGGCTTTACCACTCATCCAGAACAGAGGGTTTACCTCTCATCCAGACCAGAGAGTTTACCTCTCATCCAGAACAGAGGGTTTACCTCTCATCCAGAACAGAGGGTTTACCACTCATCCAGAACAGAGGTTTTAACTATAATCCAGAACAGAAGTTTACCTCTCATCCAGAACAGAGGGTTTACCTCTCATCCAGACCAGAGGCTTTACCACTCATCCAGAACAGAGGGTTTACCTCTCATCCAGACCAGAGAGTTTACCTCTCATCCAGAACAGAGGGTTTACCTCTCATCCAGAACAGAGGGTTTACCACTCATCCAGAACAGAGGTTTTAACTATAATCCAGAACAGAAGTTTACCTCTCATCCAGAACAGAGGGTTTACCTCTCATCCAGAACAGAGGGTTTACCTCTCATCCAGAACAGAGGGTTTACCTCTCATCCAGAACAGAGGGTTTACCTCTCATCCAGAACAGAGGGTTTACCTCTCATCCAGAACAGAGGGTTTACCACTCATCCAGAATAGAGGTTTTACCTCTCATCCAGAACAGAGGGTTTACCTCTCATCCAGAACAGAGGGTTTACCTCTCATCCAGAACAGAAGGTTTACCTCTCATCCAGAACAGAGGGTTTACCTCTCATCCAGAACAGAGGGTTTACCTCTCATCCAGAACAGAGGGTTTACCTCTCATCCAGAACAGAGGGTTTACCTCTCATCCAGAACAGAGGGTTTACCTCTCATCCAGAACAGAGGGTTTACCTCTCATCCAGAACAGAGGCTTTACCTCTCATCCAGAACAGAGGGTTTACCTCTCATCCAGAACAGAGGGTTTACCACTCATCCAGAACAGAGGGTTTACCTCTCATCCAGAACAGAGGGTTTACCTCTCATCCAGAACAGAGGGTTTACCTCTCATCCAGAACAGAGGGTTTACCTCTCATCCAGAACAGAGGGTTTACCTCTCATCCAGACCAGAGGCTTTACCACTCATCCAGAACAGATCGTTTACCTCTCATCCAGAACAGAGGGTTTACCTCTCATCCAGAACAGAGGGTTTACCTCTCATCCAGACCAGAGGCTTTACCACTCATCCAGAACAGATGGTTTACCTCTCATCCAGAACAGAGGGGTTACCTCTCATCCAGAACAGAGGGTTTACCACTCATCCAGAATAGAGGATTTACCTCTCATCCAGAACAGAGGGTTTACCTCTCATCCAATCCGATGAGCTGTGAAGCTCTTTTTCACAGACGTAACGGTGGGGACGGGTCAGCAAGTTACAATAACAACACTATTTGTTACACGGATTGATCCCATTGAGATAGTCTCCCGGCTATATATAAATATAGTGCATAAGCGCAGTAACAACAAACTACAGACACACACACACAAAAATCCCCTCATCAATACTGCAGCCCCCCTTCAGCATATTGCCACACACAGGGACATAAGAAGAACCTCTCATCCAGGCCAGAGGCTGTGACAACGCTGTTCATTCAGAGTGAACAAATTATTTGATGCTGCTGCCGCTGCTGCGTTTGGCAGTGGTGCAACAAACACACACGAGCAAGTACCGTGCCAAATAAGTTCAACATGCATACGATATAAAAACACGCTATATCCCGAAACGTGTATTGTACACGTGTTTTGTTCAAGGCAATGTTACTTACAAATGCGAAGACTTTTTTTTTTACATATTCAGAGTGGAGGTTTTAAGGATGGCTGATGATGATGTTGATTGATGGCTGTTGCCGCTGATGACGATGGCTTGATGATGGTGATTCGCTTGCAATGCACAGGGGCTGCGTACAAACATGACCCATCCACGCGTGCACTCCGGGCCCCGAGTCCATCACGTGTGAAAACCAACGGCCTGATGATGACTGTTTGTGTTACATTTTGATTTAAAGCTTTCGTGACTGCAGTAATTCATATTCTTAGCTCTTTCGGTAAAGTCACGTTGAAGGGAAACAATAAAATATATATAAAACAATAAAAATTCTCACGACGTTTCGACCATAACACAACGTGACTTTACCGAAAGAGCTAAGAATGTTTGTGTTACAGTCGAAACGTCGTGAGAATTTTATTGTTTTATATATTTTTTATTACTTTATTGTTTCCCTTCAACGTGACTTTACCGAAAGAACCAAGAATAACAAAAATAATAGCAAAAACAAACGTCACGTACAACAACAACCGAGCTAAACACTATTTGGAGACATCTTCATACATTCGACCCCCGCCACGGGAACGTGGAATTTCCACCACTGGGTTTGGGCTACAAACAGGAGATGGGCACCAATGTCTGAACGTGGCTAATTCGAGCAGGATGATATCGCTGGCTTGTTGATATTTAGGATGTAAATTCGAGCTGATGTGCCAGCACCACCACCATTACATGTGTCCATATAATTTACAGTATTTGGCTGCTATACATTTCTACATGATAAGCCACTTTGTTGAGCTATCATTTGTGGCCAGGTCGTTTCTGAAAAAGGAAGCTAATAGCTCAGTTGTGCTCCAATTGTGTTTGATTCGTATTGTTTGTTGTAGTAACGTTCTGACATGCCCCTACCGGACACTTGTAAAAAAAAGAGCTTTTTCGCTCATCGGATTCCTCCAGTATAAATACATATTCTGATTCTGCGTCTTCCAAATCGCCGCCCTGGTCAATCCGAACAGGGCTACGTACTCCCTGGATCACCACCAATATATCCCCACGTGAAACTGACACAGCGAGTAAAAAGCGACTGAATCTCACGGGGGGAGGGAGGGGGGGTAAAGCTGTACACACGTGGGGGGGGGGGGGGGCGCGTGTGTCTAACCGGCACAACGTGGGCATTAGACGGCGTTCTTCAGGTTGCACTCCAATTTAAAATAAACATTTTAATTCCGATAATTACCTGCACCGCGCCAGGGCTTGGCACGCACGGAGCTACAGAGAGGGGCATTTCCCTCCACCATCTGTCAACCGCCGCACGCACGCACGCGCGCGCGTGCGCGTGTTTGTGTGTGTTGGCACAGTAGGGGGCACAGGTGGTGCATCAGCCGCCAGTCATCTCAGCCAGTCGACCCGTGGCACCTGGGTCTGCCCCGTCACCTCCTGCCAACGGGCGTTCGACACTTCACGTGGCCTCAAGGTGCACATAGCCTGGCACGAGCGTCGTGGTGACGTCACCGCCACTTAGTGGCGAATGGCGGTTGTTGTAGTTGTTGTTGCTGTTGTGCGTGCGCGCGACCCGCCGTCACGTGAGGGACGTTGCTCACGGGGCGGAGAGTCACGTGAGGCGTCGAAAACAAAGAGGCACGTGGCTCCGCCGACGTGGAAGCGAAACCGGCGTCGGCGAGTCACGTGACCTCGTAGGGGTCGCGTGTTTGCTGAGTCGACGACTCTAAAGTC